CCCCCCCCCCAAACTGCTGATGCTGGCAACTGCATTTGGCTCGATTGTGGCATTTCGAAATCACATGCATCCTTTGTACTGCTGCGCACTCACAGATAATGAAAGGTTAGCCATTGCTAAGGGGAAGCCTTTTTTTCAATTAAGAATCTTCGGCTTTATCAAGGACTGATGTAATTTTTTGCGTCAAAAGCTAAGCTTCCCATTTTGTTGATTTCCAGTCCTGTTCCAGTGTCCTTTTTAATCTAGGCTTCTAAGTGAGCTGTAGCGCAATTGTTTGTGCTGTACCAGGGCAGCTTTCATCATCTGAAAAACCCTTCTGCTCAGTCGTCTAGGGCTGGTAAACAGGACCTTTACCTGCTTTGAAGAACACAGCTTTCCAATAACATTGAAGCCTTTTGTCTCCTGTTTTCCTACATATTAGATTGGAGCAATAAGAACCAAGTTGTGCCCTGTCTCCCTGTAGTGCATTTTAGGATTTATTAAGAGACTTTCCTTGCATAGTCACTCAGCTTTTTTATAAACATATACTCTGTAAGCAAAGTAAGTGCTTTTGAACAACAACAACAAAGTAGGCCCGACCTTTAAAGTAACAACAACGACAAAAAGCAACTCATCTTCGTTAAAAATGGCTTGCCTGGAGATCCATTTAACTCAAGGGAACTTGAGACATATATTCCTTTATGAGGTAAAATGGGGTAATGTTTAAATTATGTAAGTCCTAAGAAAATACAGAAAGAGTAAAAGAAAAGTCTTGGGACGGGAAAGTGAAGTTGATCAGACCAGGAAACTGAACAGAAGACAGATTCAGTATTACAGACTTAAAACCTTTCATATGACCAGTGACTTTGGGTAAGTATTAACTTCAGCTTGGGAAAAAATACAGGCAGAATCAATTAGTGAATTTGGCCAACTTGTATAATAACATACTTAGACATGCTAAATTGGCCCCTCTTACTCCAAAGGTTGGTCAACACAGTGAAACAAGATAATGAAACCTTTTGGAAAGGGGGAATTTGGTGAGCTAAAATAACTCAGCAAATAGTAAGCAAAGGTAAGTCAGTGTTTTAGGTAGTTTTGCTGTGGAACTTGTGATGCAAATTGTGAGCTGTGTAATCCACAGATCCTGTAATTACTACAGGTAGTGCTGATGTGTCTTATTCAGTTAGCTGCCGTTGAGCTCTAGAAGCTGGGCTCCAACTATCAGGAGGACTAATCGGCGCCGAGGGTCCTATCCTTTGACAAGGAAGTACCACTTCATCCTATTTGCTGCTGAAAGAATGTATCTTAAACCAGATGTAGACTTGTTGGCCGGTCTACTAAATTCTTAGAAGGCATGCATGGCCTTTTGCTTTGGCAGCCGCGATTACTGGGTTTCCTGTGCCACAGTGGTTATCGATGTGCTGAGGGTGACTGTTCTAGTTATTGAGTAGTTTGAAGCTGCTGATTCTCAGGAATAACCCATCTCAGCATTGAGCAGGGAGATCCCTGTGGACCAAAGCAATATAGACCTTCCCCATTTGTGCTTGGGGCATTAAGCACTAATATGTAACAGACTTGTAAATACTGGTCCAGACTTTAAGAGAAGAAAGAAAACCTTGAGAAACTAGTGATTAGACTCCAGAATCCCTAAATGGAAGAGAACCACTTCTGCCAAACAAGATGCCAACTGGAAGCTACTTAACAAAACTTTGTCCTTTGAGCTTATATCAGCATATTTTTAATATAAAAAACAATGTCTGTAAGATAAGCAGGATGATAGGATTATAAGGCAGGTACCTATGGAAGATTAAAGACCTCAGAAGGCAACAGATGTATCCTGATGATTATAGAGAGAAATCTTACAAGCACAGGACAGCTGTAAACAATGATTCCATTTATACCAAGTATATAAAAGGACGATTTCACCCTCACAACCGTCAGATTGTTGTGGGGCCATGAAAGAGATTGACAACACTCACATAGCAAAATGTTATTGTTCCACTGAAAGATCACATGTGACAGTATCAACCTAGAAACACTAAGTAAGGTATACATGAATCAAGTCTATTTGGTATGGGCAGATATCCGGATGGATGGATAGAGCTGAATAACTGTGTGGATACTTGGGCAGAGGGTGAGCTCCCATTACCATATTTAAAAAAGGTTAAAAAAAAAAACCCTGGATAAACAGCAAAATGGTCACTATCAGTATTGTTTAGAATAACAATTATTAAGGTGAAAAACATGTAGCATACTTAAATCTTTAATGAACATACATTTATATCATTGGTGCTAAAAAATTAAAACATACCCATAATATCTTTTTTTTTCTTTTGTCAGGCATTTTTTTTTTAAAGTTGGGCCTGTAATCCCAATTACTTTGGAGATTTAGATCAGAGGATCCAGAGTTCATGCTTTCTCAAAAAGCAGAAACATGCTAGAGACGGCTCAGTGATTAAGAACAAGGGCTGCTCATCTAGAAGCCCCAAATTTGGTTCCCAGCACCGTGTTGGACAGCTTACAATTTTCTGTAACTCTGGATTCAGGGGTTCTGATGTCCTCTCCTAGCCTCTGCAAGTACCACCCCAACCCCACACAAATACACAAATAAAAAGCTACAAGAGAGTTGGGGGTATGGCTCAGTGGTTAGAGTGTTTGCAGGGAAAGGCCTCGGGTTTGAGCCTCAGTACTGCAAAAAAGAAAAAAAAAGGATATATTACTATAGTCAGATGTTTTGATGAATAAAAACAATACCATGTCAAAAATTCTATAGGAATTTTAGACAGCAGTTTCCAGTGAGGAGCTAAAGTTTGTTGCAAAAAACCTTTCAAGGAATCTAACCTTAAGAGAAAGTCCAGAGGCCAATAGATGTGTTTTATATAGACTCAGACAACATAGAAACTTTCAGTCATGGGCTGGAGAGATGGCTCAGAGGTTAAGAGCACTGACTACTCTTCCAGAGGTCCTGAGTTCAATTCCCAGCAACCACATGGTGGCTCACAACCAACTATAATGAGATCTAGTGCCCTCTTCTGGTGTGCAGACATACATGCAGGTGGAACATTGTGTATATAATAAATAATTTAAAAAAAAAGAAACTTTCAGTCATATAGAAGATCATTATAGATACAAATGTTCATGAATGAACTCAAGTGTGTCAGTATTAAATATCTTTTTGAGTTCTATGGTTTTTGTATTATGTATTGTCTTCTCATGGGATGAAGGCTGGCCTCAAACTCACTATGTACCTGAGACTGGCCTTAAGCTCCTGATCTTTCTCATTCTACCTCCCAAGTGGTAATATTCCAGGTATGTCTCACTATGCCTGGCTGAAGTAAAGATATTATCAAATACAATCACTAGAAGTTAATAGTTTCTAAAATTAAATTGAGTCAGAGACTCAATCTTTTTAAAAAGTTAAGAAAATTCTCTTTAATTTGTATTATAGTCATTTTCTTTCCCTTCTCAAATTTAAATTGAATACTTAGGCAGTATTGAAACTAGATGAAAATGTTTTCATTTTAACAACTTTGATACTTAATATAAAGAATACTTCTCTGGGAGTTCTGTCTGCACATTAAAAAGCGACAAGACAGATTGGTCAAGAGAATAGTACTTTTTACTTTGTGATAAAATAATTCCCTTCAGGCTGAATAAAGGACTTATTATGGCCCCAAATAATTCAGCATTTTCATATCCCGAGGTTCACATTCTGGTACCTGAGGAAATCTACTTTGAGAAGTCTTATTTTTAGAAAACCTGGCAAAATTTTTTCTTGTGCTTCTGTAGCCTGAATACAAATCATTTGGGAATTGGAAATCTGTAGGGCTATAGTTTCCATGTGACTGTCTAGAACATGTTGAATTATGCCAGTTTGAAAAGAAGCAAAAATAGCTTAGGAAAGGAGAATTTAATCTGGCTAGAGGAAAGAAATGGAGTATAAATAAACGTTAAAGGTTGGCTATGCATACTATGGCAAAGTTGGCACTTGACAGATTTAATTTACAGAGTTGGCATTTAGGCCGTAGATAATCCAGACAGACTGACTGAGCAGCATCACTCCGGCAGTCTTACATAAGAACATCAAACTGTTGTTACTGAACTGTTTCCTGCAGACACAGACACGGGCTTTGAAAAGCTACAGTAGCCATGCTGTCCCCTGGCTAACCCATGCTGTTTGCTCGGGCAGGTGGAGAAAACATTGCTACCTGTGTACTCAGTTAATCACTGGAGGACCCTGAGGAAGAGGAAACCTGTGGGAAAATCTACAGAGATTTTGAAAATGCAAAGTTCTCATATCATGAATTCCTTTCTTTTGAGACAGGGTCTCACTGTGTAGCCCTGGCTGGCTTGAAACTCACACAGATCCACCTACCTCTACCTGGGATTAAAGGTGTGTGCTACTACACTGACTAATTATTGATTTCTTGAACTCCTAAACTGTTAATCCACATAGCAGATATTAAATCAATATTTAGATATCAAGTAATTTTTCTACCTAAAATCCTTGGATGCCCACTCCTCGTTTTCCCAAACTTCCTTTGCAGCCTTCCCCTTAACAGTGTGTTTGTCAGGGTTTGGTCCTAGCCCCGCCTGGCTTCATCCTCTGCTCAAGATGGAGTTTTCATCCCTTTGGCTTGCAGACTTTTCTACCCTGACATGCATTTGATAACTGCTTATCTCAAGCCAGGTGCTCTCCTAGCTTATTGTTGTGGTCTCTATCCCACTAGAACTTTTATAAATTAAAAATCACAAACAATGGGAAGGAGATCTGGGCATGAAGCACATGCATCTAATCTCAGTGTTTTGGGAGGTAGAGTCAGGGGGAATCAAAGGTTGGCATTACTGGGAGGTCAGATCTGAACAAGGCTTTGCATCTTACTATAGCTTTGAGTCTGTACAAACTCAATAATTCATTCCTGAGTCCCTGATACTAGTTGTCAGTTATTATTTCTTTAAATAAAAGGATTATTCTAAGCAGTAATATAAACATGGGTTATCGCTTTTAGGAGAAATACACAACTATAACAAAGGAAAATTAGTAGATAATCTGTAATGGTTAGCTGATACGTCTGTCCAATATAAGCATCCACTTGCTTGATTTCACCTTCTAATCTCATTGTCTGATGCCAGATAGTTTTCTCAGGGTTTGTTTCTACCAAGCAACAGTGCAGTCACCAAAACATTATCAATCAAATACAAAATATTAACACAAGATGTGCTAGTTGTTTATTAAATATCTGCCATGTGCAAAGTAATGTTAGGCACAAGGGAGTTAATATAACACATCCTCTGCTATGAAGACATGGAACATAAGAGAGAGAAAGGGTCTAAAAAGGATTAGCACAATATGATAAATGTCATAGAGGCAGGCATGTGCTCAGCACAGCAGAATACAAGGAGTGCTCTGCTGATTAGAAGCCAGCAAAGCTGAGGAAAAGCTAATGTTAAGGTTTTCAGGAGTAGTCTAGAAAGAATGTCCTAAACAAAAGGAACTTCAGATCTAAAGCTATGGAGGCCTCAGAAAGCATGCTTGAAACCATAAGCTTCAAATGACTAGAAGGGTAACAAGGCAGAGCAGAGCACAATATTAGTGCTTGCTAAAGAGTCTGGACTTTATCTGGAAGTTATTGGAGTCATTGGAAGATTTTGAGTAATAGTAAAAGATCAGATATATTTAGAATATCACTAAATCAAAGAAGTCACTAAGCCAAACTATTGCAATTATAACAGTAAATATGGTAGGAGGAAGAGGGAGCAGAACAGAATTGGAAGGAAAGGGGCAGTTTCTGCCTTCTGAGTGCTGGATTAGAGGCAAGTGCCACCATGCCTGGCTGGGTTTGGTTTGGCTTTATTCAAAGGATGGGGAG